GGCCTTTCTGAGTGGAGTTTGCATGTTCTCCCCGTGTCTGCGTAGGTTTCCTCCGGGTGCTCCGGTTTCCCCTACCACTAAAAAATATGTACAATAGGTCTGGCATGTGCCTCCTGTACTGGCACCCCCACTCCCAAAAAATAACAATTGTAAACCGCTTTGAGACTCCAATGTGCAGTGAAAAGGCGGTATATAAATAAAGATTACTTACTTACTTACTACTCACTCCTTCACTGTATCCAACAGATCAGTGAGTGGATGCAAAACAACTTCCTTCAGCTAAACGCAGACAAAACTGAAATGATTGTCTTGCATGCATTTGTATTTGCATTTGTCTCCAGTAGGTTAGACTATTGCAATGGCCTGCTCACAGTTCTGTCCAAACAGGCTGTAAAACAGCTGCAGTACATTCAAAATGCAGCAGCTCGAGTCCTGACTAGAACCAGGAAGTACGACCACATTAGTCCAGTTCTCAGGTCTCTGCACTGGCTTCCTTTGGCTCAGAGAATAGACTTTAAAACAGCTCTGCTTGTGTACAAGTCTCTCCATGGCCTCGCACCAAAATATATTAGTTACATGTTAGTCCCATATGAACCAGCCCGGACTCTGAGGAGCACAGGGACTGGACTCCTGTTAGTGCCCAGAGTCAGGACTAAACATGGGGAAGCTGCTTTTCAGATTCATGCTGCTAAAATCTGGAACAGTCTTCCTGAAGATGTGAGACAGGCCTCCTCTCTGACAATGTTTAAAACCAGGTTAAAGACAGTTCTGTTTAACTGTGCATACAACTGAGGGATTTTATATTTTTATCTTTCTTTTTAATGTTCTGTGATTATTTATGATTTTAATGCTTTCTTGTTTTGTTCAGCACTTTGTGTTGCCTTGTGTATGAATTGTGCTATATAAATAAACTTGCCTTGTTATGTTTGATGACATGTTAACATACCATCAAAATGACAATAAAGGGTCACATTTCATACCTCAAATGTTGTTTAAAGTAACACTTGTGCCCTATTTATTGTATCATTGATCAGAACTGTTCTGTTGATCCCAGAGTGACTCCACTGTTGTCCCTATAAGGGCCGCTTAATCCTCATTGTTGAAAAAATAGGACTCATTCAAACTGCACATGGCGTACGTGTTACAGCCCTGAAATAAGGAAAGAAACCACAAGAGTAATGTGGATTCTCTCTTGTAGGAATTTATTACAAGGAGAAAAACGGTTCTCCTCCATAGTTCCCCTATGGAGGAGTCCATCCTCACCTCCTCCATCACCGTGTGGTTCGCTGAAGCCACAGTCAGGGACAAACAGAGACTACAGCGCATTGTGCGCTCTGCAGAGGAAGTGATCGGCCGCAGCCTTTCATCGCTGCAGGACCTGTACGTCGCCCGAGCTCGAGGCCGGGCTGGTCGTATCACAGCCGACCCCATGGACTATTCCAACCACTCCCCTCAGGCAGAAGACTGCGGTCCATCAGGACTAGAACTTCCCGCCAAAAGAACAGTTTCTTCCCCTCTGCTGTTGGACTCTTGAACACTTCTTAACCTGTCCCCCCGCCCTTTATGAAGTCACTTTACTGCCCATCATACGTCACTTTACTTCACTGTACTGCTGTCACCTTACATTGTGTGCACCATGTGCACTTGTATATTGTAAATAGTAACTGTAACTCTATTTTAAATTTAAATTTATTCCTGAGAAGTGTTTTTATTCTTTATTTTTTATTATCTCTTTCTGACTGTTGCACTGAGCCAAAGCAATTTCCAAGTCTGTGACTTCCTGTTACTTACTTGGCAATAAAAATTATTCTAAAAATTATTCTGCTGGTGCAGGCAAAAACAATCGCTCAATCCATCTTCAGGCTTTCTAGTGGATACTCGATTACGGAACTATACACTATCTTTATAAATCACAAACATATTATTATAGCATGAAAATTAGAACTTTTAATTACTATTTTAAACTATATTTATCTTCAAATTATTATTGGTGACTCATTTATTCGCGTCTATTTTTACTCTATTTTTATCCATTACCATTTTTATAACTACTACATATGCATCAATAAAATTAGTTTTCACTCAAAATTAATTTTAAAAATAGAAGAAGAAATTCAGTATGTGCAAACCGTAAATCATCTTAGAAACATGGGGCTGGCCCGGACTGGCCATCGGGAGCATCGGGAGATCTCCCGGTGGCCTGCGTGTCAAAGTGGCCTGGGCCTGCCCTATCATCACGGTCTTTTTTTTTCTTTCTTTTAATTTAATTTCATCCTCACGGTCTTTGCAAACTCCTACCCTGCCTGGTGGCCTGGTCCAATGAGCAAGGCCCAGACCAAAGCCAGTGTTGTGCGTGAACGAGTTCAAAAGAACGCGTTCATTGAACACGCTCATTTTTTCGTGAACGTTGAACTGAACGCAACACATTTTTTAATAAAGAACTTGAACGTGAATTAGTTCATATTATGTGTCATGAACGGCAGACAATTTGTTTTCCATTTAAAACTGAGTGAAATCTGTTTTCTCTTTTGAAACGCAACGAGAGAAAGTTCCTCCCTCCTGTATTCTCCGCACTGTTTCCGCCGAAAACTAAAAATTCCTACGGTTTCCACCGTCTGTGAACGCACCCCGACTCAGTGTACTTGCGGTGCGGCGCTATATGCTAGCTAGTGCTATTCATTGGTTGTTGGACTCACATGTGCCGTGATGAAAACACAGGGGTAAGTCAGTGACACAGGGCCGTTTACATTTGACATAAAGTATAGACACACGTTCTGCAGCGCATTACAGTTTGTACTTATGAGCAGAGATGGGACAACTCAGTTCCCATTGAAACCCATGTAAATCTTGTCTGCATTGGAGTCAAAACATCCTGTGCAGTGTACAGGATATAATATATAATTAAATATATTATATATATATATATATATATATATATATATATATACCACGTATTGTGATTTCTAGCTCGTAGTGAAAAAAAATATTTATTTGAATATCTTGCAAAAAGTAAAATGAACTGAAATTTGAACTAGTTCAGAATTAAAATTGAGAACTTCGAACGTGAACTGTTCACTTTGAGCATGTATTAACTGAACTTGAACTAGTTCAGAAAAGCTGTGAACTGGCACAATACTGGCCAAAGCTTTACTGTCATTGGGCCAGAGCAAAATTAAACAAATGTGACGTCACACGTCGGCTACACAGCCAGGCCAGCCTAGCAGTGCACCCAGTGTAGCTTCCCCGGTTGAAATGAGTGGTCTCTCCAACTGATGGTTCATACACGTTTTTATTTTTCCTTTTATATGAGCTGTAACGATGTGATTTTACCTTACTACTTTTTTAACAATAATTGATTAGCTTGTTATAGTTATACACTAATGAACACTTAGTTCATTGTGTGTGTGTGTGTCTTTATTCTCACTAAACTCCATAAACGTTACGTTGCTAAGCAACGTACAACAATCCTTAAACGTCCGAGATTATATAAACAGTCAATATTAAAAAAAATAAAGAAAACAAAAGTTTTGACAGTAAATCTTAAAACTATTAAAAGAACATCAAAATACAATGACAAAAACCCAAATTTAGAACCTTGTTTGGCCTGAATGAATGAAAAGCTCCCGGCCTGAAATGTTGTCCCACTCCGGCCCTGACATGGGGTGATAGTGGCTCAGTTGGTAGAGCACTGGCCTTTGAACCTGAAGGTCGTGGGTTTGATCCCACCACGAGACCCACTCCAACTGCTCCCACAAATGTCTGGTGTGGTTGTGTCCTTGGGCAAGACACTTAACCCCGCATTGCCTGAAGCCCAAGCTGAAAGAACAAAGCTCCATCAGTGGTGTCACACCACTGATGGAGCAGCAGCCATCTTCCTGTGGACCCACCACCTGCAGAGCATTAGAGAGGGACTGGTGCTATGAGCATTGGGTGGCAGCTCTCATTATCACCCCCCTGACCCAGAAATGGACTAATACATTTATTTTTTTAAACATTGATACTGGTAAATATTGGTTATCAGCCATAACAGAAAAATTACTATGCGATATTGGCCCAAATTTTCATATCGGTGCATCCCTATTTGACAGTGTTCGTGCTGAAAACGTTTGTCATCAAACAGATGTTATGTCTCACAGAATCTTTAGTGTAACAAAATAAAACATTAAGCAAAGCCACATAGCTCCTGCAAACAACTGAACCAGGTCGAGCACAAGCCAGACTACTGAAAGCTTACACCCAGGAAGAAATCTTTTGGCTATATTTTTGAATTTATAAACTACCAGCCAAAGCTGCCCTGGGGCAGACTGACAGAAGCAAAGCAACCTCTCTATGCCATCGGCACCTCTGACCACCACCAATCACACACACCAGACTCACACAATCAAATGTGGGTTAAGTGTCTGGCCGGAGGCTCCCATCAAAGTACTCACCATGATAACGCAAAAACCACCCATAGTTAGTGGTTGTAGGCCGCCATTCATTGTCAAATGTGTTTTATGTTTTCAAACAACAACGTAATAAGATCTCAAATGTGCTGTTCATGCAAGGTGGCCCAGGAATTTTATGAAGCTGTCAGTGATGTTGGGGCTGGTGCTAAGTGTACTGGGTGCAGCTCTGACTGCCACCCCCCCAACCCAGAAATGGATTAAGGGGAAGAAAATGGATGGATGGATGGATGTCAGTGATGTTAAAGGGGCAACACACATGGTTGAGAAGTGGGGGACGGAGACTTCTGATCAGGGTCCTGCCTAATTTTGATTTGAACCCAGAAATCATGTTTATTTGACATTTGATGGCTTTGCACAAATACTAACAAGCTCAACTATAACCCAAAGCCTATTAACCTAAACAAATGTCACTAACCATGTAAACACAAGTGACCAACCTAGAATGAAAGCAGGATCATTTTGGAACATGTGCCACACTTTGAATATGCCAGTTCAATACGCTTGCATGCTGCTTTTCCCACAACTTTGACTACATAATTTCCCATTGCTTACCTGAAATACAGCCTGACATGGTTGAGAAGGCTTTTGCGCTGTCTGTAGATTTTCACATGTTCTTGGTTGAATTTCTCCTCAGAAAAGATGTTTCGGGACACCACATACTGAGCCATGGTCCGCTGTGCCTCTTCCGCTTCCACTGCCCCTGTCCTGGGTCTGCGGTGCTTGTTGTGGACCTTATGTGTGCAGAAATCGCATTAATACACTTTGAACACCTTATCAAAGAACATTAGACAAACAAAGCGCAACAAGCAGCTCCTGATACAAAGCAGACACAGAGCAGGACGGTACAGGACAATATCAACACACAGATACGGCTCTGACCTCAACGCAGATAAACTAGGGCTGCTTTTCTTTAATTGTGGCCATTCATTGAAAAATATTGAAATAAAATACTACTTCTACCCATCCATCTACAGCATGCTCTCAATTAATCCATTGGAGTCACTGCAACACCCTAAGTACTTAAATAATAAATCTAATATCATTGGACAGTAAACAGCTTGTACAAATATATCCATGAGTTGGTAGAAATACTAGAGGTGTTTTTATACAGCAAATCCATGTTCGGGTGGATAGTGGAAGGTTTCTGTGTTGTTTGGACCCATGTAGTTATTCAACAAAGGGTGGAAAAACATGTTCCCAGGACCAGAGGGAATGACACAATACATTTCCTTTTTCCTTTTTTAACATTATCAAGAAAAACAGCAAAACATGAACGTGACGGATTACAATCAGTCCAGATGGTTTTAGTCTATACATAGGCAAAATCCTGTAACAAAACGGGGCACTTTGTGTTGAAACAGTGCCTCTTGCGCATTTGCTCCACTGAATTTGAGCTTCTTTACAAATAAGCTGATGTGAAATTGGTGAAATCAAGTGTTTTTTTGGACCGTGTCTTGGTAAGTTTGCAATGGTGCCATACTCTTTCCATTTCCAAAAAATTGTGTAGTAGTGTTATCCGCCCACCAGCTGGGGGCGCCAGACGCCACACTATAAAACCCTGCAAATTGTTGACGTTTGGCCGGCTTGTGTGTACTTCCAGGTGCTGGTCGCTCGGCTTGTGATTCAGATTCAGATTCAAATTCAGTTTATTTGCCATTTTCAGTAAAAAAAAACACATTGAAATACATTAGCGAAAAGTCTCCAGTGTGCACAGACAAATACAGACATAAAACAACATTAAAAGACAAAAATAAAACAAATAAAACAGTAAACAAAAGTCACTGTGAAATCGATCGACTAAAACAGTTCAAAACAAGTGCAAATCATTAAAGTGCTCTGTTCACCCTGATAACAGCTTGTGGATAAAAACTGTTAGCGTAACGAGATGTCCTGCATCTCAGAGAGCGATATCTTCTGCCAGAGGGAAGAAGCTGGAACATGGCTTTCCCAGGGTGGCCAGAAGAGTCATTAACAATCCTAAGAGCTTTGTTTAAAAGTCTGGATTTATAAAGAACCTCCAGAACAGGAAGCTCACAGCCCACGGTCCTCTTTGCCGAGCGGAGCACCTTGTTTAAAGCTCTCTTTTGTTTATCTGTGATGTTTCCAAACCACACAGACACAGAACCAACAAGTAAACTCTCAATGGTGCAGCAATAAAAGTTAAGCAGAATCTTAGAGTTAGTGGTAAATTCTCTAAGTTTACGCAGAAAGTAGAGACGCTGACGAGCTTTCTTAACGACTCGGTCAGTGTTTTTAACCCATTTCAGATCGTTAGACAGAGTTAAACCCAGAAACTTGCACTCCTCTACGATCTGCACCTGGGAGTTGTCGATTATGACAGGCAAATGAGAACTATTGCGACTGAAGTCGTAGACCAGTTCACATGTTTTCGATGCGTTCAACTGGAGGTTGTTAGTTTTACTCCACTGAACCACATTTTGTATCTCTGCTCTATAAGAGGATTCATCATTGTCACTGATGAGACCGATGATGGTGGTGTCATCAGCATATTTGATGATCAAGTTTGAGTCAGAGGAGGGCACACAATCGTGAGTGTACAAAGTAAAAAGCAAAGGACTCAAAATACATCCCTGAGGAGAACCAGTGCTCACAGAAACAACATCAGAAAAACAGTCATGGATTTTCACTCTCTGAGATCTGTCAGTTAAAGGAATAGTTCACCGTTTTTACATACTGACATATGTTCTTACCTTACCTTAGACTAGTTAATACGTACCTGTCTGGTCTTAGTCCGTGCGCTCTGTCATGCAAACGGAGCAAAAACGGGAGCACAACCGCAGCCTCCTCTGTATACTGTGTAGGACCAAAAGGTAGCTCCCGCTAGAAGCTACCAAACTCTTCCAAGTGTTCCCTATTAAAGGTATATAGTTACGTGACGTGTTACACTGCAAAGTATAGTAACACAGAAATGTAACAGTCGATTTTCTCAGCGGATAAAACGGGTACTATATTGTGAGGCGTAGTAATCTGAGGAGCGCTACGTCCGCGCACTAACTTCTCTCCGGAGACTTCTCTCTCGCTCACTTCCGTCAATAGAAGCAGCGTGACTTGTAGTACACACAGTAGCAGCAAGAGAGAAGTCTCCGGAGAGAAGTTAGTGCGCAGAGAAGTTAGGCGTAGATTACTACGCCTCACAATATAGTACCAGTTTTATCCGCTGAGAAAATCGACTGTTACATTTCTGTGTTACTATACTTTGCAGTGTAACACGTCACGTAACTATATACATTTAATAGGGAACACTTGGAAGAGTTTGGTAGCTTCTAGCGGGAGCTACCTTTTGGTCCTACACAGTATACAGAGGAGGCTGCGGTTGTGCTCCCGTTTTTGCTCCGTTTGCATGACAGAGCGCACGGACTAAGACCAGACAGGTACGTATTAACTAGTCTAAGGTAAGGTAAGAACATATGTCAGTATGTAAAAACGGTGAACTATTCCTTTAAAAAGCTAAAAATCCATTTACACATGGCAACACTTAAACCGAGAGACATGAGCTTTTCAATCAGTTTACCTGGGACAAGGCAGTAAAAAGCAGAGCTATAATCGATGAAAAGCATTCTCGCGACAGATTTACTAGTGTCCAAGTGACTGTAGACAGAGTTCAGAGCAAAGGAGATGGCATCCTCCACACTCCTGTTCTGTCTGTAAGCAAACTGGAGCGGGTCAACACTCACAGGGATCTGGCTCTTAATGAAGTCCAGCACGAGCCACTCAAAAGTTTTCCTAAGAACAGACGTGAGGGCCACAGGACGATAGTCATTCAGGCATGTCACAGGAGTTTTCTTAAGAACTGGAATGATGGTCGACTCTTTAAAGCAGTTCGGCACAGTACAGTTCCTTAGCGACAGGTTGAAAATGTCTGTTAGCACAGGGGCAAGTTGCTCAGAGCACAGTTTCAGGACACGAGCAGGGATGCCGTCCGGGCCTGGGGCTTTCCGGACTATGGTCCTGGACAAGACACGCCTGACATCCTCCTGAGTCACGGTGAAGGCAACTTGATTGAAACACTCAGGGAATACAGTAGGACAGGCATCAGCGGATTCAAAGCGACAGTAGAACGTGTTCAGCTCGTTTGGCAGAGCTTGGCCGACAGATGCAATTTTCCCAGCACTAGGTTTCCACGATGTGATGGCTTTAATACCGTTCCACATGCGCCGAAGGTCATCTTCCTCAAAATAACTCTTTAACCTCTCCCCGTAACTGAGCTTTGCAGATTTAATAGAACGTTTCAATGAGTAACAGGATAGCTTATAAGCAACTCTATCATTTGATTGAAATGCCAACGCACGCTCATGAAGTTTCAGTTTCACTTCCGCGTTCATCCAAGGGTTTTGACTAAAATGTTCTTTAATGACCTTCTGTGGGACACAACAGTCAATACAGAAGCGTATGTATCCAGACACCGCGTCACAGAATTCATTGACGTCCTCTGACTGAAACACAGACCGGTCCGTAGCATCAAAACAACCTTCTAGCTTCATGCTAGCCTCCTCAGACCAACACTGCACAGTGCGAGAGGTTGGTTTATGTTCCCTGCTCCTCTGAGTATACGAAGGAAGAAGGAGAACAGAGGAGTGGTCAGAGTTTCCAAAGGGAGGTCTGAGGCCTGGACTCCACCGGGCGCGTCTCCGTTGACGCGCGTTGGCTGCTGTCCGTCAGACGTCCGTAAAACGGACTAGTGGTCAAACCGGCTGCAGCAGCGCGCAACTCTGGCTGTGCGTTTATCAGCCTGCTTTGTTTTTGTAGGAGACACGTTTGGGCATTGTGTGAATGTTTGGCTGATGGAGGAGTCATGTGTTGTCGGCGTGCATGTGTGCGTGAGCGTGGGCGTGTGCGTGAGAGCGCCCGTGTGTGTGTGTGTGTGTGGTGGGAGGCGTGTGCGTGCATGTGTGTTTGGCTCTGTGACTGCAGCGTTTATTATGATCCACCTCTTCGTTTGTTTTCTACTTATTTAGCGCGTCATACACTTTTATCGGACCCAACTCGCCTCTCTGCGGCTTTAGGCAACAGGCAGAGCTATAGTTTTAAATAGAAGAAGCTGTGTGTGATGTGTATGAGCTGTGGCTATGATCAGTGCAAAGCACAGCACATTGAAGCATTGAGGACGTCGCGATGGATGAGGAAAAACGTATTGAAAGCAATTGGAAAAAGGGGAGAGAGAAAAGAACTCCAACATATCCAGTGTTGTGAGATCTGTCTCTCATAAGTGCAGCTCTGTGTGTGTGTGTGTGTGTGTGTGTGTGTGAGTGTGTGTGTGTGTGTGTGTGGGAGCGCACGGCGGTGAGGAGAGAGCTCCTCGCAGGTAGAGGGGACAGAGCGAGAGAAAAAAGAGCGAGGTGTATGTAAAGATTAGCGTATTAACATTACGCGAAAAACAAATGGTAGATGTACGATCAGGAAACAATTATTAAAGTAATACATGAAAAAACGTTACACACGTTTGTTAATAATCATTGTCATTAACAAATACTTATAACCAAGGACTACAGCATATATCAATACATGTTTAATAATGTTGTAAATATATTATTCCATTGTATTTCCAATGGAAAACGGACCCGACACGCGTCGACGGACGGAACAAATAGGATTGTTTCTATTTCGTCCGTCCGCGTCAGTTGCACCCTCCGTTAACGGAATATGTCCGACGTGCGTCGGACGGACGCATGCGGAGGCAGTGGAGCCACTTCCATTCACCCTCATGGAGATAACGGAGACGGAGATGAAACGGACATGTTCGGACGGATCCGTCGTCCGTTTTACGCGCCCGGTGGAGTCGGGGCCTGAGACTGGACCTGTAAGCTCCCTTCACGTTACTGTAACAGTGATCCAGAACATGTGCTCCTCTTGTAGCTTGAGTCACATGTTGGTAAAAGTTCGGGAGTACAGTCTTTAAATTACATTTATTGAAATCCCCAGCAACAATGATGACTGCGTTAGGATGTGCAGACTCATCTTTGCGAAGGATCTCGCTCAGATCCTGTAGGGCTACTTTGTAGTAATAGTAATCTTGTAATCTTTATTTAGTAAAGACTGCGTTAGGATGAGCAGACTCATCTTTGCGAAGGATCTCGCTCAGATCCTGTAGGGCTACTTTGTAATCCGCACGTGGGTGAATGTAAACAGCACATAAAAATATCACTGAAAACTCACGGGGAAGATAAAAAGGGGCGGCAGCTCAAGACCAGGCATTCCAGATTGGCAGTATATGTTTGGTTCACGATTCGAGTGTCCGTGCACCAGCGCTGATTAATTAAAAAGCACACACCTCCGCCTCTGGCCTTGCCCGTGGTCTCCTTCACTCTGTCCGCGCGACCTTTATTAAAGCTGTAGAAACTACAGCGAGTTCCAGGCGACTTCCGCTAATCTTTCAGCCCCCATGCCGTCACAAAGCGCCACTAAGCACAACCATTCATTTGAATAGGGCGCCATCTTGGATCGCCGGGGCTTGATTGTGCTAGGCAGGTAACAGCTAAGCTAGCTAGTTCAAAAACTCTCTGGAACTACATGAAAACTAAACAAATAATTCTGACCATCAGCAGGGAGTTACCCATTTATATACACAACCTATATCCATAATCAGATCCTCTTTAAATGTGTCCTAAAATGTCCGTTTCATGTGAATGGTTACTTCGGGCTAGCGGGGCTACCGGAGCTAGCCACGGGCTAGCCTGTCTGCACAGACCATAATAGATCCATGGTACAGACACAAGTATTGACAGCGCTCTTTCCCGTCTCTAACTCACTCACTCACTACTCAGACTGCTAAAATTGGTCTATGCTTGTTATAATGTACTTTTGAACAAGAAAAGTCACGGAGCTCAGTTGGTGCGCCAGTATAATCGGTCCGTCTGAAACATATCCTCCAGTGAGGAACGTTCCGCGGTGGACAAAACACATGCAATTAAAATGCGTTAATTTTTTTAACGCACTAATTTTTGTGCCGTTAATTAATCGTAATTAACGCGTTAAAGTGCCGGCCCTACTTTTAACATTTAATATGCCTTCCTGTTACCTTGTGTGTATATACTAGTGTGATCCGGCATGTGGGAGAGGACATGTTTTGTTTTAGTTTGCAGTGGTGTTTTTATATGCATGGGTGTTTTAACATTTTAGTCCTGCTCCAGCTGGAGACATGCCGCAGAGCCCCATGGACGCTGTTGCCCAATCCTGTGCGCCACACAATTAGAGCACCTGCGCTTGATGAGGGAGCAGGGAATATAAGGGCAGGTGAAACGGACAGAGAGAGCGCAGGGCAACGGAACGGAACGGAAAACGGAACCGTAAACAAGAGTCACTGAGGACAACGCGTGGAGACCACGGCTCTACAAGACCGGACCGAGCAGTGACCCAGGCTGCACCAGCGAGCCCTATCCACGCAGCGGCAGAGCGAGAAAGCTCTGCCTTGTCTGTGAGTAACGCTCTGTGGATAAGCTGGTGCAACCAGGAGAGCCTCAGGCCCCAGCAGCTGGCGAAGCTTGTTTGTACTGTGTACTGGCTCTGCTCTTGTGTCTAGAGCGTGGTGGAGAGGGAAGCGGCGGTCCGAGGAGGCACCTGACCCGGGGAAGAGCACCGTGACGTTGACTACACGCAGCGGCAGGGTGAATCCCTGCCGTGCCTGTAAGTACCTCTAGTCGTTGTAGCGGTGCTATAAGATCATTTTGTGGGGTCTCTTGCTTGTGTGTTCGGCTGTGTGGTGCTGCCGTTTCGTCCTTGTGCCCAGGGGCGGAGCTGGACCGCAAGCAGGAGACGGTGCCTGACTCTCGAGGGACGCAGCGGCAGGGTGGATCCCTGCCGTGTGTGTAAGTGCCCGCCCGTTGTCCCTCGTTAAATTCAAAACGTGGAGGATTGTTCCTGCCGGCTTTTTGTTTTTGTGCACAGGTCTCCCTGAAGAGGGCCCCCCCTGCGCTCGGGACCTTTTTATCACATTTTAAAGACTTTTTATCCCTGTTTTAATTTATTGCAATAAACTATTTTGTTTTTAACAGTTTGCTCTGTCCTCTTTTGGTCACACCACTGCTCTGCCATAACTGTTTTAATTCGGTCCACCACTCAATCGTTTCCTTACCTCCAATAATCAAAACCCCCCCTCATTACATAATCTGGCGTTGCTGAGCAGGATCCATTCCTAAAGAGCTGGTGTGTCCAAAAAAGAGCAAACATGATGATGCCTGTATACCCTGGTGCTCCATGGCTCCCAAAATTTAAAGGGCCAGATGGTGATTTAAAATATGGTGATTGGAAAGAGCAAATCAAAGGACTTTTGGGTTCCCAGGACTTACCAGAGGCAAGGAAAGTTGGTATTTTATTGGGAGCACTAGCAGAGGAGGCAAAGCGACAAGTTGCAGTTTTAGATGCGGACGAAAAGGACCAGGTGGCAAAAATATTTGTCTACTTGGATTCTTTATATGGTGACCGAACTCCTATACCGGTTTTGAGGGCACAATTTTTTAGCTGTACTCAGAAGGCCGAAGAAACTGTTCAGAGTTTTATCTTGCGACTGCGTGAATTGTATTGTAGGCTCAAACGCTTAGATCGCGAAGACTCCCCCTCTGAAAGTGCCTTGCGAGACCAGCTGCTGCTGGGGCTCCGTGATGGCCCCCTTTCCCAAGCTCTTAAAGTTTTTGCTCGTCGGAACCCAGAGTTGGAATTTTCAGACCTTCGCCAAGAGGCTGTGCTGTTGGCGTCGGAGTATGGCCGAGCTGAACCAGAGGTAACATGCTCCGTAATATCTAAACAATACACTTCTCCTAGACTGCCCCAGGAACCCAATTGGAAGGAGCAATTGAAGCGTGAGATCATGGAGGACGTCAAAATGCAAATCAAGGGAATAACACAAGAAATAGTGGCAGAGCTCAAGCCGCTGCTGCAGACTGCTTCTCCACAACCCAGCCCACCTAATCCAACCAGGACTAGGCAGTCCACACCCTCGGACATCTCGGTACAACGACCGAGATGCACAAGGTAGGCCCATTTGCAACCGGTGTAAGAAAGCAGGCCATATAGCTCGGTACTGTAGAGGCGTTGTAACCCCTGAACCAGCTTTAAACTAGAGACTCCTGCCGCTGAGGTCCGCGCAGCAGGTTTAGATGGCCAGTTTTTGCCAACCAGGGCCACGGAGACGTTTGTTGGTCAGTGTCCTAAGGTACAGTTAAGAGTCGAGGGTGTACAGTTGGAGGGGCTGTTAGACACTGGGTCTCAGGTAACACTGATGGCGGAAAGCATTTTTAATGAGCACTTCACCCAAGCTAAGCTGGGAAAGGCCCCTACGTTGTTTAGGCTTAGAGCGGCAAATGGGCTAGAGATACCATACACTGGCTATGCAGTGCTTGACCTAGAGGTTGAGGGGGTCAAAGTCCCTGAGCGAGGGGTGGTGATTGTAGAGGATGTGAAGTGCACGCACCCATTCATTGTAGGCATGAATGTTATCATGGCCTGTTGGGACACACTATTTAAATGCCCTGCCACGTCGTCTCGACTGCCCCAGTTTAAAACCCAGAAAGTGTGGAGAGATGCATTTGCCACTTGCCGCCATATTGAAGTTTCCCCTGCAGAAGACGGGCTGGTTGGTTTTGTTAGATTGGCTGCAAAAGGCAAAGTTGTTGTCCCTCCAGAGAGTGAGATGGTGGTGTGGGGCCGCACAAAGAGGAATCCAGTCGGAATAGGACATTGTGCCCTTGTGGAGCCGCTGCTTGATGTGGGCGCCAGTGATGTTGGGGTTGCAAGAGCTCTAGTTGAAGTTAAACAAGGTAGAGTGCCAGTGCGTGTTTGTAATCCACACCCCTATAACATTACCCTAGGGCGGTTCAGTAAATTAGGCCGACTGTATCACATTGAGGAAGCGGATGTGCAGGGCCCCCATAGTTTGTCCCTCTCCCTGGAGGACGACGGGGTTGTAGTAGTCACCAGAGTAGAGGTTGGTGCAGCTTCCCCTAGCCGCCCAGGACAATCTGAAGGGACTAGCATGTTGAGAAACAGACCTGACCTTTCTGACCAACAGCAGAGGGAGCTAAAGGCCCTGCTGCAGAAGTGGGAACAAGTTATTTCACAGCACGAGGAGGATTTTGGTCGGACTAACCTAGTGCAGCATCAGATTCTTACAGGCGATGCTGCCCCCATTCGGGAAAGGTACCGGCCAATCCCACCCATGCTGTACAAAGAGGTGAAGACCCTCCTCTCGGGTATGTTAGAGAAAGGTGTTGTTAAAGAGAGTTGTAGCCCTTGGGCGGCTCCGATAGTATTGGTGCGTAAAAAAGACGACAGCTGGCGCTTTTGTGTTGACTATCGGAAGCTGAACTCTGTAACCCACAAGGACGCTTTTCCACTGCCCAGAATAGAGGAAACACTGACCAGTCTTAGCCAGTCGGAATGGTTCTCTACTTTAGACCTTGCCAGTGGCTACTGGCAAGTCGAAATGCACCCGGATGACCAAGAAAAGACTGCTTTTACCACGCCACTGGGACTATACGAATTTGTGCGTATGCCGTTTGGACTTTGCAATGCACCAGCAACGTTCCAGCGACTAATGCAGCAGTGTCTAAATGGCCAAATAGCGGAGTCGCTACTGGTGTATTTGGACGACATCATAATTTACTCTCCAAACTTTTCTTCCCACCTCCAGCATCTCGATCAGGTGTTCGAGAGACTGTGGCGCCATGGGCTGAAACTGCGTCCAGATAAATGTAAGCTTCTACAGAGGGAGGTGACATTTCTTGGACATGTGGTGGACAAGCATGGTGTGCGACCCGACCCTGGAAAGATTGAGGCAGTGATGGAGTGGCCAGTTCCAACAACTATTAAACAGGTTAGAGCGTTCCTCGGTCTAGCAGGGTACTACAGACGTTTTGTAGCTGGATTTGCAAAAATTGCACGACCCCTTAACAGGCTCCTCACGGGGATTCCAGCTGATAAAAGGTCACAATCTAGAAAGGTGGTATGGACCCCAGAGTGTCAGACCTCCTTTGATGCCCTGAAAGCTGCCCTCACACAGGCCCCAGTCCTTGCCTATGCGCAATACGATAAACCTTTTATCGTATACACAGACGCAAGCAACCAGGGACTTGGCGCAGTGTTATCACAGCTGCAAAATGGACATGAACGTGTGATTGCATACGCTAGCAGAAGCCTACACCCCACTGAACAGAATGATGCTAACTATAGCTCCTTTAAAATCGAACTCCTAGCCCTTAAGTGGGCCGTGACTGAAAAATTTAAAGACTTTCTTACAGGAGCGGAGGTCATCATATACACCGACAATAACCCTTTGGCCCACCTACAAACAGCGCACCTCGGAGCAGTGGAGCAACGCTGGGTGGCACGGCTTGCTTCATTTAACTACACTGTAAAGTATCGCTCAGGTAAAAGTAACGCCAATGCTGATGCACTGTCCAGATTCCCTGTCCCTGTGAGGCACGTGCCTGGACCAACTACAGGCGATGTCGAGGTCATACCCGATGTCGAGTGGAAGACGGACCAACTCTCTGACCCAGATATCCGGCTGGTCAAGGAGCTAGTCGCCAGGGGAAACTTCCCTAATTGCTCAGATCGCCTGGCACTCCCCATTAAAAGTCAAAAGCTCCTGAAGCAGTGGAAAAGGTTGTTGGTAAAGGACAATGTACTGTATCGCAGTTTTGTCGATGGCCTAACTCACGAGGAGCACCATCAGGTTGTGTGTCCGAGTTCCAGGTGTAACGAGGTCTGGAGAAGGACTCACGAGGCTGGTGCACATGCTGGAGCTGACGAGACCCTGGCCCGGATTCGGCAGCAGTTTTACTGGCCTGGCATGGAGGGGGAGGTACGCAAGCTACAGGAAGAATGTGTTGTGTGTTGCCTGCAGAAAAGCCGCATTGAGCCTAGAGCGCCCCTTCACCCAATTGCAGCTACCTATCCGCTTGAAGTTATTGGGTTAGACTTTTTGACTTTAGGTCGACCCACCGATACATACCAGAACATCCTCGTTGCTACTGACCTGTTCACCCGTTTTGCGTGGGCCATAGCTACCACCGATCAGTCCGCACAAACCACTGTAAAGATGCTTTGGAAGCATATTATACAGCAGTTTGGCTGTCCAGCGCGCTTTCATTCTGACCGTGGTCCCAATTTTGAGTCTGCCCTAATGCAGCAACTCTGCGACATGTACGGCATAGCCAAAAGCCGCACAACCGCTTATCATCCCGCTGGTAATGGTAGTGTCGAACGGTTCAACCAAACGCTGTTGCACATGCTTCGTTCCCTGGAAGAGGAAAAGCAACGCTGTTTGCAGCACTATCTGCCTGAGTTGATCCACGCCTATAATAACACAATGCACAGTGCCACTGGCTATGCCCCCTCATTCTTAATGTTTGGTAGGCACCTTCGACTTCCTGTGGACGTCAGCTTGGGTAGAGCCTCCCAGACGCCTCATTTTGACCCCGAGGGATGGGTAAAGGACCACCGTCACAGACTTACTTTCGCTTACAACCTTGCGCGTCAAAGAGCAGCTAATTCGGCCTCCCATTACAAACAGCAGTTTGATAAAAGGGCTAAAGCTTTGCCTCTGGTACCTGGTGAACGTGTATGGCTGCGAAATAGACGCAGGGAGGGTAGGGGTAAGCTTGGGACTTGGTGGGATCCTACACCCCATGTAATTTTGGACTGTGTGGGGGATACGGGAGTTGTGTATAGAGTGCGTCCCGAGAAGGGTGGTCGAGAACAGACTGTACACCGGAATGCGCTGAAGGTATGCACGGCCCCTCCACTCGCATCGGAACCAACCCCGGTGCACAATGAACAATCCCCTCCAGCACAAGAATTCGATCTGCCAATTGTTTATGGATTTCCACCTGCAGCACCTGAGCCGCCACCCGTGGACCCTGAAAATGTACCCCGCCATTCTGTGCGTGTAAACTTTGGACAACCACCTGCCCGCTTTAGAGACTAGGTTGTGTGCAGTTGCAGGGACTGCCAACGACAAAGTGTGGGGGGGTGTGATCCGGCATGTGGGAGAGGACATGTTTTGTTTTAGTTTGCAGTGGTGTTTTTATATGCATGGGTGTTTTAACATTTTAGTCCTGCTCCAGCTGGAGACATGCCGCAGAGCCCCATGGACGCTGTTGCCCAATCCTGTGCGCCACACAATTAGAGCACCTGCGCTTGATGAGGGAGCAGGGAATATAAGGGCAGGTGAAACGGACAGAGAGAGCGCAGGGCAACGGAACGGAACGGAACGGAAAACGGAACCGTAAACAAGAGCCACTGAGGACAACGCGTGGAGACCACGGCTCTACAAGACCGGACCGAGCAGTGACCCAGGCTGCACCAGCGAGCCCTATCCACGCAGCGGCAGAGCGAGAAAGCTCTGCCTTGTCTGTGAGTAACGCTCTGTGGATAAGCTGGTGCAACCAGGAGAGCCTCAGGCCCCAGCAGCTGGCGAAGCTTGTTTGTACTGTGTACTGGCTCTGCTCTTGTGTCTAGAGCGTGGTGGAGAGGGAAGCGGCGGTCCGAGGAGGCACCTGACCCGGGGAAGAGCACCGTGACGTTGACTACACGCAGCGGCAGGGTGAATCCCTGCCGTGCCTGTAAGTACCTCTAGTCGTTGTAGCGGTGCTATAAGATCATTTTGTGGGGTCTCTTGCTTGTGTGTTCGGCTGTGTGGTGCTGCCGTTTCGTCCTTGTGCCCAGGGGCGGAGCTGGACCGCAAGCAGGAGACGGTGCCTGACTCTCGAGGGACGCAGCGGCAGGGTGGATCCCTGCCGTGTGTGTAAGTGCCCGCCCGTTGTCCCTCGTTAAATTCAAAACGTGGAGGATTGTTCCTGCCGGCTTTTTGTTTTTGTGCACAGGTCTCCCTGAAGAGGGCCCCCCCTGCGCTCGGGACCTTTTTATCACATTTTAAAGACTTTTTATCCCTGTTTTAATTTATTGTAATAAACTATTTTGTTTTTAACAGTTTGCTCTGTCCTCTTTTGGTCACACCACTGCTCTGCCATAACTGTTTTAATTCGGTCCACCACTCAATCGTTTCCTTACCTCCAATAATCAAAACCCCCCCTCATTACACTAGCGCTACTGTGTGACTGGTTTAAGAAGCGTCGGGACGTCGCTTCCTTTTTGGGGGGGGTGAATGTAGTAGTGTGGACAGTTTATCCGCCCACCAGCTGGGGGGGCCAGACGCCACACTATAAAACCCTGCAAATAGTTGACGTTTGGCCCGCTTGCCGTCTGTACTTCCGGGTGCTGGTCGGGTGGGTGTGTGCGGGTGTTGGTACACCGTGTAGCAGGTAGCTGATGGCTCTGGAGGTGCTTTCAACGCGCAGCTGGGTGGCACTTCACACTGGGTGTGTGTGATCCCTCGGTGGTCCTCTGAAGCTGGGAGTCAAGCCCCAGTGAGAACTCCTGAGAGATGTCCTACCTGAAGTGAAACTGCCTGAGTGAACCGGGCGCACAGCACAACCACCGCTGTTTCTCCCGCTGATTCTCCCGTTATTTTCCTGTTTCTCCTTGCGTTTCTTTCACATCATCTCCCGTGTTGCTCCTGAGTCCATCGCGACAGGAAATGTGTGGAATTGTGAAACCTGAAGATCAACCTATACAGCTTACTGTAATAAATCAAAGTAACTTGTATTTGCCATTGCCTCATTTTGATTCAACAAACCTGTGCGCCTTGGAGCGCGTTTTTATTTTATTTTGGGCACTCTGCCCTGGCATTGTTTGTTTTTTCTGTTATTTAATTGTTATTATTTTAGGAGCGCGTAGCCGCCTCAACTTGCCACAATTGGATAGATTGAACAGTGCTCCATGAGATGTTCAACTTGGGTTCAACTTGTTTATGGTTGTAAACCTGACAAAATGTACAAGAGTTTAAGGTCCTCTAAAAGGAGGTGATCCTGGGACTTCCGGCTAAAGACTGACAAGATGGTGATGGCGAACCAGGAGCTGCAACAGGCCTGGAAGGTAAAAGTGACAGTAGTGCCGGTGGTGATCAGTAGTAGTGTGACAATATATCAAATGACCTCAAGTTTTCAATTATGTTATTATTAGGTATTATGATACAACTTGTATGTAGTAAAAATCATTTTCATGAACTACTTAGAAAAAAAATCAGGTATAGCTTCTTTAATGTCTCTGTACATTGTCCCTTCCAAATAAAGACTAATAAAAACTAAACTAGTTGAGCCCTGTAAAGATACCATTGCAATTATTAAATCGGATAAAGATAAAAGCATTTAAGTCATATTTAGTAAGACAGTGTTTTACTCTAGCAATATTTCAAGGTGGTGAAAAGTAGATTTGGTGATAGCATTGAAGTGTTGGATATGTCAGGTGAGCTACCCTCCCTAGGTAGATCACGGTTAACAAATTGAGAACCCCTGGTTTTGGTATATGTCATTTATTACTTTATTTAATACAGCCTCAGAAGAGTGAGATTCACCAAATCCTGACTAAAATTCATTAAAAAGATTGTTCTGTATCATAAAAGTATACGTAGTTATTGTGAGAAATGGTTTTACAACTGCCATTTTAAAAGCCTGAGAAAATTGTCCAGATTGAAGAGAATATCTCTGAGATATTTGGTGAAATGCAAGTAGACATTTAAATTAAAATCTGTAGGCAAAATATTTAGACATCAAGATGTAGATTTGAACTGAAAAATAATTTCTTTCAGAGTTGTATTTTTTAAAACATTAAGATATTCACAACTCATTTGGAATGATGGCACAGTACAGGCAAGTGCTCTTTGGTGGCTGGGCTTTTTTCAGGGTTTTACCTGTAAAAGAGGTACATGATTTGTTTGATAGGAGCACAGATATAGGTTAATGAAGTTGTCAACCACTGATAATAATTATTGAGTGTTGTTACTGTTGTTATCATTGAGCTCTGTTTATTATTTTTTTCAAACTTTGTTTATTGATTTTTGACAAAATGTACACAGTATATCAACATAGAGGCATACAATGTGCAAACAGAGTACCTAAGATTAAGAAAGAAATTACAAATAAAAAATATATATATATAAATCTACAAAACTAAATCAATCAAGGCACGTTTATGTAAACACAGCTATGTAAATTTAAAAAATGAAAAATATATAATGATAAGTAAAGAAGTAAAGTGGATTTAAAAACATTCAGACGTTGAATAATTGCAACCTAAAAAAAGAGCTTTGTAAAATTAGATTATCTTGCTTGTTTTAGCATTTCATTATACATTTTAAAGGTATATAGAAGGATTTTCCCAAATTTTAGGAAAGAACCCTAACTCCCCAATTTTTGAACAAAACTTTCTAATTTGACAAGCACGTATCACCAGAATGAGTGACAATTAGGAGGACCAATAGTCTTGATGATCCACCCGGAAATAGAAAATCCTCCTATATGTGAGTGTGTTCACAGTATAGTGACAATTGAAGTATCTGGACTTTAAAAGGTTATAACTTAAAAACTAAAATTACTTTCATAGATTGGAAAAAAGATTTCAAACACAGACAGATTGAAGAGATAGTGTGGAAAAAATCAAAAGGAAAGATTGACATAAAAATGTTTAGCAACATTTTAAACGACCATTTTAAAAGCCTCTGATTGGACCATTCTACTGTGACGCCAATTACATAGAAAATAAAATGTCCTCAGTCTGAAAAAGCAGAAGATGAAATCCCATAATATTTACATGGTTAACACAACATAAGTAAATCACTTGATTATAAAAAGGAATCGTGAAAAAATAAAAAATAATTAATTAATTAAATTACCCCTGAAAAATTTATAACGGACGTGATGAGGACGGTCCTCTTTTCTCTAAAAATTAAACTTGAGAAAAAAAGAAATCTGGTCTGTTTTCACATTTAATTGCTTGATAATATGAAAGTATCACTTTGTGTAAAAAAAATATTCCGTCCATTCCGTCAAATCATCACGTCCGTTACATAAAATAAACAGGGCCGCTGCAGGAAACTTGTCTAATGTATAAAACAGTTATGTTCTAGCAACTTCTAATGAACAGAGGAGGTGTTTGGAAACATGAAAAACATAAAATATCTTCTGATTATTAAAATCTAATTTTTGGCCTTTTGTCACACTTTTGTGCCCTTTAGTGTGAACAAGCCCATTAAGACTCTTTATGCATTCAATAATGAACGTGGAGTGTCAGAAACATTTGACCTATCTGCATGGTCTTTTTTGTTCTTTGACATGAGGGGTGTTTCTCCAGGGTGACTTATCTTTCCTAGTACAACTTTAGACCAAATTGGAGCAGTGACATGAGAGCAAAAGTGTTTGACTGAGTCATCAACTGAAGACATACCTGAAGAGTATCCATTCTTGTGTTTAGATTAATACAATTCAATTCCTTTTCATGACTTGTTCTTTCCTCTTGCTTAGGTTTACAAGGATTTAAATAAGACACAGCAGTGGTCTGAAAGTGTTTGCTCTTTCAGATCTGTCACATGAAGACAGGTCCATAATTTAGATCCCCAAATCATCGACCAAGTTAACACAGTCCAAGTCTATACAAATAAAAGTTTCTGCTACTTTATCTAAAAATAAAAAGAGTTCATCATACTTTGGAGATCTGTAAACGGTTACAAATTCTGTGCAACAGAAGAAGGCTTTTGATTAAGTACAACACAAATTTCCCAAAAAAGGGATCATGGAGAGCAGAGAACAGAGCATTTGTGAACAGTGAACTGAGTACAGAGAGCTGAGAAGGAGAAAATCCAAAACTATGAACAATTCCTCATAGTGTAACAACTTTGAAATCGGGCTATTTAGACAGATAAGGTGGTACAATGGGCATAAGAAACAAGTTTTTAGGACTCGTTTAAGGGTGCAAGGTGTTCACTTTTATGGGTCCTTCTATATAAGCTTTTGTTTTGCGTGTTCTCACGGACCTGTCCCTTTTTAAGTCCAGATTAAAGACTCATCTTTTTAAACTTGCTTTTAATACTTAGGGCACACTGAATTGTGTCTTGGTTGTCTTCATTTTGTGTTTTAAATTGTTTTGATCTCTCTGTGAAGCACTTTGGTCCTCCTGGTGTTGTTGTAAAGTGCTATACAAATAAACTTTGATTGATTGATTGATTGATAAGCTCTCGAAACCTGTAGTGAGGAGCTCCAAAGTGTGGTCTGATGAAGCTGTGGAAGAGCTGCGCGCATGCATGGAGTCTACAGACTGGGACCTTTTCAGAGCTGCCACAGACAGTTTGGATGAATACACGGACACTGTGACGTCATATATTCACTTCTGCGAGGATAGCATTATTCCAACAAGGACCAGGGTCATCTATAACAACGACAAACCCTGGTTCACTGCTAAACTCCGGCAGCTCAGGAAAGCAAAGTAGTCTGCTTTCGGGGAGGGAGACCGCAGCGGCTACAAAGCAGCTAAATATCAGTTCAGGGACGAACTGAAAGCAGCCAAGTCCCGGCACAGAGAACGACTACAGGAGCAGTTTGGTAACAACGATACTGCTTCGGTCTGGAGGGGCCTACGAGAGATCACCAACTACAAGCCCAAAGCCCCCCCCCTGTGCTGACGACCACAAGCTAGCTGACGAACTGAACTTTTTTTTCAGTCGCTTTGATGCTGCACCCCGGACACCTCCCCCACCCCCCACTACTCAAACGACCCACCCATCAGCCCTGCCCCCAGCCTGACAAAAGCCTCTAAAGATATTAAACAACTCTTCTTGAGGCTGCACGTGTCTCCGGCCACTCTGAGACACTACGCCAGTGAGCTTACTCCTGTGTTCACTGACATTTTCAACTCCTCT